AATAATAATAATAATGATAATAATAATAATAATGATAATAATATTAATAATAATAACAACAATAATAATGATAATAATAATAACAACAATAACAACAACAGCAGCAACAACAACAACAACAACACCAACAATACTACTACTACTACTACCACTAGATCATATTTACATAGCACTCTATCCCATACAAGCATAAGCTCTGAGCTCTGAGATCGTTTAACACGCAACGGGATGAATCGAAATATCTGTAGTTTCAATCAAAGTAAGTTTGATTTTCTCTGATATTTTGAAAAAAAAAAGAAAGAACCCTTCCAGCCCCTTGCGTGTGCATTTTCAGCAGCACTTGTACCTCCCACCATCCCAAGAGCGTATATTCTCAGTTTCGAATAGGAAGGGAGGGGGGCGGGGGAGGGGGGGATTACCGAATTTGCGCAATTTTCGAACTATTATTATGTGAACCTAATGAAACTTCAATTTTCATAATATTTGTTCATTTACCTTTAAACACTGTTGTAATAATATGTTATTATCAAAAAATCATTACAAAGATACTACATCACTTTTTAGAATGCATGCCTCTTTTTCGGAAATACTACTGCTGTATTGGCTATGACTGGGGTTAGGGAGTGAACAAAAATGGCTGGGGCTGGAAGAGTTTGTCTCTTTTAAACAGACTATAGTCTTAAGAAACTTTTTTAGCGCTTTGCAATCAATTCCGCTATGGCAGTGGTCCGGGCCAACCAAATGTAAGTACACCCCCCCCCCCCAACCATCTCCACCACCCACCCTTCCCTATCTCCACCCACGCCTTTCTATTCTATCTCCTCCCTCCCTCACTTCCGACCTATAAATTCATTCATTCACCTTTGACCTAGCACTTTCAGAGGGTGAATTGTGGAGAATGAAACAAGCGCGTGTCGTAGGGAGGTTAGGACATGTAGTTCACAGGAAGAACACGATTTGTAGACTGCCACGGACATAAGGAGACAGATAGCTATAAATGTCCCACACACTCATACATGGATTAAGAGGGCACACAGGACATCCTTTGTTCTAAGATTTGGCGAGAGAGGGAGTAAGAGAGAGGGAGGGAGAGAGGGAGAGAGAGAGATATGGAGGGAGATATATTTAGATTTGATATAAACAGACACACACACACACACA